TATATATACATGCATATATACCATATTTATAGTCATTTGAACTGTGTGCTGAATTGGTTTTCCAGATTTATAAACACAATTAAACTACTGTAATAATATCACAAATCAAATTAAATTGACAAGCAATTTTTAGTAATTTATGCCTTCTTAACTATATTGTTTTAATAATTTGATGCTCAATCAGGCACCATATTAGAAAGATGTTAATGTGGTGAAAAACTAAATAAATTTAAAACTATTAAAAATTGTTTCTTGTTCCTTTTCTAGGTTCTTGTTACAATATTCCAATCTGCATATGGTTGATGGATACTCATCCCAATAATGCACCTATGTGCTATGTTAAGCCAACAGCAGATATGCATATTAAAGTCAGTATGTTCGTGGATCACAACGGTAAAATTTATTTGCCATATCTACATGACTGGGTGCCTGTGAGTAGACTCACTATTGATCACTAAAAATTAATAATTCTCTAATATTTATTTACTTATTCTTTTATGTTGCAGCATAATTCAGATTTGCTTGCTTTAATTCAAGTTATGATTGTCACCTTTGGGGAACAGCCTCCAGTTTATGCCAAGACAAGATCAGAAACGCAACAGAGTTCGACGCCGTATCCTATTCAGTGTAAGTACACTTATAGAGTTCCATAATAAGCTTTGAAAATTTTTCTATTACTGTCTCATTTAAATATCTCATACAAACTTGTCATGCAGCATTCATGCCTGTACCTGGTAGTGGAAATGTATCAAGTTCTGGCTTTCCTCCGTATCCACCAAGTTCTCAATACTCCAGTGGTAGTAATGTGTATCCACCATATCCCCCGACAGCATCCGGAGGATTCCCGTATCCAAGCTCTTACGGTTCTTATGCAGGAACTACGCCCAGTTATCCACCACAAGGTTACAGTGGTTCATATCCACCGTATCCGCCAGTCACGCAACCGGTATATAATTATTATTTATTTTTAGCCCATGGCATTTATAATTAATATTCACATTTTAGTCTTAATTATTATGTACAAATTATTATTAAACAGTTATTGAAAGGTATATCGGATTAAGTAAATATTTGTAATATTATTTGCAAGTCGCCGACGGTACAACCAAATTCCAGTGGATCTGGCACGATCACAGAAGAGCACATAAGAGCATCCTTGCTGTCTGCGGTAGAAGATAAGCTTCGACGTCGACTCAAGGAACAGTTCTCACAGTTACAGGCCGAGCTCGAGACGCTGCGACGAACGCAGCAAGAGCTAACAAGCGGCTCGTCACACTTGGCAGATCTTTTTGATAAGCTCAAAAAAGAGAAACAGGAGCTCGAAAAAAATGTTAATATTTTACAAGATAAGGAAACAGAATTAGAAAAAGAGATTGCTAAATTGTCTGATAATCAATCAATAGATGTCGATGAAGCTGTTACTACTATAGCGCCTTTGTATAAACAGTAAGCATATAAATAACGATTTTACTGCTAAATAATTTTATGAATTTCAGTATGAATTGATATTGTAATGAATAACATCATTTAATTTCCAGGATGCTAAATGCTTTTGCCGAAGAAGCAGCCACGGAAGATGCTATTTACTATCTCGCTGAAGGACTGCGATCCGGCATATTAGATTTAGATGCGTTCCTGAAGCAAGTTCGGCAACTATCGCGTAGACAATTTATGTTGAGAGCACTAATGCAGAGATGTCGACAGAAAGCCGGTTTGGTCGGTTAAACATATTCCTCATGCGCTTCATCCTACAGCTGCAATATTCCATTTTGTCTAAATAAAATATATCATAGTGCTATACGGTGAAAATGGAACATGTATAATTTATATCCGTGTCGAAAAGCATAGGGGAATTTATTTTGTCGGCAATAATTGCCGTATTCTTCTCTGTATGAAGTAATGAAAAGAAGACTTGTATTTTACAAGAAAAACATTTAATAGAATGTATATGTTAATGAAGATACAGTAATTATAGCACGTTCAAATATGAAAGTAGATGTAATTCTTTCGCACAGAACTATATATGTTATTACTACATATAATATTGCATGATGAGATTAATAACGCTGTAGTTTATGTTTATAGAAAACGAGTGCGAGTCTTTATTTTCTCGAGGTGCCACAAAACTCGTTGTGTACCTGTATTACAAACTTCATGCCTTCATTGTGATAAAGATTAAATAAACTTATGCACAATATAAAATATTCGGAATTGTGTTTGTCTACAGCAATGATTATTACAAGAAATCTTTCCGAGTTTAGTTACACTATTGCGTATCATCTCTCTATATTAGAATAACAAATTAAAAAACTAATCTACATTTCATATTATATATATATATTTTTTAACAAATACATGATATTTGCTCAGTAAAAATATTAACTCCTTATCGATACATAATTTATAGTTATCTATACATAAATTCCAACCCAGAGCAGCAAAAATAATACTCCAAAGCTAGAGAATAGCGCTGCGACCAACGAAATAAGTGCTTCCTTGCATATATCTCGCGTGAATTTTGTGCTGGTAACCTCGTATACAAAGAACCAGGCCGTGAAAAATACTCCAATTCCTAACAGAACCACAGCCAGCAGAGGAAAGACAGCTGGGTTTACCGGCGAGACGTATCTCGTCATCGATTCGATTTCAACCTAAAACAATCAACAACATTAAATCAGAAACAGAACAGCTGATTGGCACACAAATATTTAATTTATATCTATACTTGGTTTAAATTTATATCTTTTCTGTGTCCTTTTACTCGTATTTCTTGAGGCGAATACGATTAAGGTTAGATGTGACTTGAATTAATCTACACTAACTTTATGAGAGTTAAGGAAAGAATTCGATTGTTCACGTAAAGAGTAACAATTGCTACTTGCCATTTTTTGAAATTGATGCGTGTCCGCGTAGCTCGAAAGAAAATATTCCGGTCAAAGTGTCGAACACTTTGGAGTCGCAACGAATTGTCAAACATAGGCTGACATCGTGGCATCAGCTGGCATTAGGTTAGGTTAAGCATAGCGCGTGAAATTACCGAGGTAGTTCGCGGAATGGAAGTATTTGTCTTCTATCATGACGTCATCTTGCATCAATCATATTTAATTATATTTCCGCAAATATTTCATTTTTACTATCTCAGTCGATAAAACGGCCATTCAACCGTTACAATTACACTTTCAATGTGCTGCATTCTTTTTCGTTTCAATATAAAAATACGAAATACGCGAATATCTTCTTCATCCTAAATACAGAAAATGTGAGAAAAAAAGTACAATTTAAACGGTTCAGATAATTTGTTTTGCGTCCCTCTTTCGCACGTATATTTTTCTCTCCGACGAGACGTTCCATTTTAAATGCCGAAAGTGTAGCAGAGTGCAGTTAACGGTTTCGGACTTTTGGAGAAGAAAGGACGAGCTGGGTGAAAGAAGGAAGGAGTCTCCGCGCTTCTCGACCCCCTCAAACCTTCTCGTACGTCGTGTTCCACGCTCGAGCGCCTGTTCGCGCTGGAGAGCGTCCGGTGGTGATATCACGTTCGACTGTACGTCCAACCGTACTTGATCGCACTTGGTTCTCTCGTTGGTTCTGATATCGTACATCGTACTATCGTCGTGCATCGTCTCGCGGCAGGAACGACCGCGTTCGCGTCGTCTACATTGGTCTACGTCGCAACTGTCAGGAACGACCGGGGAGTAGCTGCGAGAACCGCTGGAACAGTGGCGTAATCGCGTACCGAGTGGTCGCGAGGAAGTAGTGTTCGTGACGACAGCGGTTTTTAGAGCAGACGGTGCTAAAGAGTGCTAAAGAGAATCGACAGGAGGATACATATACGCGTGCATGCGATGTTAGTCGTTCGTCGACCGAACGAATTCGCGCGACGTGTTGCACCATTTTCCTTTCCCCGTGCGTGCGTCCCCACGCCACGCCGATGCGAGTCGGACGATCGTCCCGGGCTACGATAAATCACGACACATTTAGATATTAAGCTGCAACGGTAGCGCACGCACGGTCAGCATCATGTTCTGGACGAATAATTACGTGTCATCGCCGCATATCGAGGCATTGCTCAACAAAGAGGTAAGTGACTCCAGACTCTCCTCGTTATACTTCCCCCACGAGGGAGCCTTTCTTTTTCCTCCCTCCCTCCGGAACCTCGTCGTTAGACAGTATTTAATCGGTTACTCGATTACAGGATGTCACACTTCACGAATTGATGGATGAGGAGGACATCCTTCAGGAATGCAAGAGCCAAAACAAAAAGCTGGTCGAATAGTAAGTGGAAATATTCTTTAGATCTGATTTTGTATCGAGTTTTTATTTTATATGGTATCTTTGAAAAAAAAAATAATTTTTTTAATGTGTAATTTATAGTCTTACAAGGCCTGCCGTTATGGAAGAATTAGTTACGTTAACTACTAAGGAACCATCCACGGACATCGAAGAACGTTGGCGTTACAAGTATCCTAATGTTGCCTGCGAGTTGCTCACATGCGATGTACCTACATTGAATGAGAAACTGGCAGGTATACTCGCGCAGGAACACTGTTATATATCTATTGATTGAAAGAATATTTTTAAAGTTATATAAATTTTGTAAATATGTTTCTTGAACTTTTTACAGGTGACGAGGCACTTTTGGCCAAATTATATTCTTTCATAGATACAGATCAACCATTAAATCCACTACTTGCATCATTTTTCAGTAAAACTATCGGAGTTCTTGTTGCTCGTAAAAGTGACCAGGTAATTATTTCTTAAACATTTCTTATTTTTACATAGAAAACTCTTAATGTAATATATATTTTAAGATCAGTCAGTTGTACTTAATGTAATAACTTTGAGATTGACATTTTATTCGATAACAAGTAATATTAGTTAAATAATAAACTTTTTCTTATCTTTCCTATATTATCCACATGCCTATCCATCCTATACATTTCCATCTATTCCAGAATTGGTATTCCTATCAGTTCACATGCTTACAGGTTTTAGAATTCCTTAAAAGTCGTCAGAGATGTGTAGATTTGTTGTTGCAACATTTAGAGACTTCGGCTATCATGGACTTAGTACTCAAACTTGTTACTCAGGTTGAGGGCAGTGATATGCGTCAAAACATATTAAATGTAAGACGATTTTTATATTTAAAAAATTTTTATTTATGTGGCTACTATTATATAATTAAATTCTGGTTCTATATTGCATAATTAAATTTTTTTTAAATATATATGTGTGTGCGTCTTTTTGATAGTGGCTAGATAGTCAACATTTAGTGCAAAGACTGGTAAAATTGTTAGCACCTACTTCAGAAGTAGTCAAACACGCTAACGCGGCACAATTACTTTGCGATATGGTGACAGTAGCTAGAGAAACTCAACGTACATCCACAGAACGTGCTGATCCAGATCCTATTTTAAATACTTTAGAATCGTAAGTTTAATCCTGCAAATTTATGATAATTTATTGTTTACACGAATATTTGCGAATAACATGTATTTTGTTACACAGAGGAGAAACTGTGAGCCTATTGTTAGAAACTATCCTAACAGCAGAAAAAGTAGAAAGTAGTATTGTCGGTGGAATACAAGTACTTTTGGTACTTTTAGGTCAAAGGGCCAACAAGTACGGCGTTTTTATATATTTTGCAATATTACAAAATTATATTTTATAAATAAAGCATAGTATACAACAGCCTGAATTTTTTGCAGCACATCAAATGAAGGAGATGTACATGGTAATGGCGAAGACACTACAGATAATGAGCAGTGTATTAAAATTTCGAATGCTACTTTACCATATTTGGAACATCTTCACAAACTTCTTCTAGAGCCGCCATATGTAAGAGCGATTTGCAAACATTTAAAAAAAATAGTGTATTTATAACAATATTTTATTCGGTATTATTTTAAAAATAATAAAATTTTTATTGCTCAGAAATCTGCCGTCAAAACAACCGTTGGATTACTAGAATGTCCATTAGGCAATACTCGTTTGCATGTAGCAAAGTTGTTAAGTGCTTTACTGGCGACGGAAAATTTAAAGATCCATGAAAGTTTAGAAACTTTGGGAACATTCCAAACATTGTTGGTAAGATCATATTATATGAATATCATTAAGAGTTTTTATTATATTGTGTACTTTTGTTTACTTATTTTTAACCCAAAAATGTATTATAGGATCTGTTTTTCAAATATACCTGGAATAATTTCTTACATACGCAAGTACAACAGTGCCTGGCCTTAGCTATTAATTGCGGACAACGGGATAATGATATTATTTATAATAATGTGAGTTATATCTCTTATAATATGGAAATAAATTGACATCAAGGAACATATGTTAAATAATTGGAATGTCTTAACTTACAGATATTTATCAAGTGCAAATTAATAGAAAGAATCTTAGAAGCATGGGATAAAAACGAGAGTAAACAGTAAGATTACCAAAAGTATTAAATTTAGCGGAATATTTCGCATATATTGCAATAGAGAATTCAGGGTTATAACTTCGAGATTTGATTGCAGAAACAAAGAAAATGGTATTCGTCAGGGCTACATGGGACATTTAATAAAAATTGCGAACAATATCGTCACTCAGTGCGAAAAAAATAATATACTGACCAGCTTCTTAAAAAACAATGTATCACCCGAGTGTCTTACTAGATGGGAAAATCTTGTGAGTGTACAGTTGGTGGAAATTAATAAAATTCATCAAACTGTAATGATGGTATGTAGTAATGTGACATGTATTTCTTATTTTTTTTTCTTTTTCTTGTAAGTATATCGCCTCTATGGATTTAGAAATAACACGTAATATCACTCATTCATTTATAATAATTTATGACAAAAAATTTTAATTTTTCTTTCATTGTATGTCATAATTTAATATGACTGCAATGAGAAAGCAACAACCTTTAATTATAATGGAATTTTTAGGGTGATCAAACTCCCGATGTGTACCTGATGAGCTCCGAGGAAAATCCAAATGAATACAACTCTTATTCGCAAGAAACATACATTCAACAGGTTAGCGGTTACGCCTATATATTATTGATACATAAATCAAGATTATCTAGTTTTTTATTTATCGTGCGGATTCTTGGTATTAGATGTACTCCAATTATCAGGGTCAACAAATAACACCTCCGTTCATCGAGAATTTTGGATTCCACGACGATGAGTTTAACGATGGTGATGACGCACTTCAGTAAGTATAGACGCAAGATTTCATTAAAAAGTATAGCACTGCTAGGTCCGCGATCATAGAACTTGGAAGAGCCAAGAAAGAACACGCGTGAGAAGAACGCAACTTTAATATTGCCATAGTTATTTCTCTCCCCACTGTTTTCGTTAAGAGGTATGATATTATAGTAATCCAGTTGACCAATTAACAACGTTGGCCTTTAATCTCAGTGAAGAAGATCTCGACAAGCGGGAAGATATGTTCAATAAGGTAGATATCTATTCAACTGTTATCAAATACATATTGTATTATATTTGAAATTGAAAAAATTGATAACTTTATTAAAGCTGTGCCAACAAAAACAAAAAGCCGGGCTTGAAGATTGTGGCAGTGGCTTAGAATGGGGAGATGAGGGCGAGCTGACGTTCCAGACCGTGGTGGACAAACGAGATTGGCATTCAAAGCAACAACATCAGGATTCTAGTTCATCGGATGATTCTAATTCGTCGGAAGATTCTAGTTCGTCGGAGGAGGAACCACGCAACATGAATATGGAGGTCGAAACGGCAGATCGTATGTTTTTATAAAAAATTCTTACATTACTTGATTAAAAAAAAAGCTCGAAATTTTATCGAAATGGCTTATGTAATCTTAGCTTGGAACAATACCGAACCACCGAACACTATACTTCCACCAGTTAACCCATGGGATGTGACACCGTCGGAACCAATAGAATCTACTGGCTGGGCCAATTTCGAAAATTTCGAAAATACTTTGAGTATAGAGAACACCGTAAGCGAAGAGAAAAAGCCGTGCGATGAACTTAAAGAGAAAATATCAGAAGCTACAGCTGTAAACCTAACGGAAAAGAATGTAACTTGTAGCGAAAGTGTTGGAGATGGTAACGAAAAGAGCACAGACTATGTAGATAGTCAAGTAGTTGAGATGAAGTTGCCAGCTGCGGAAATTAATCTCAATGATAGTAAAAGTGATGAGCACATGATGATTTCCGCGAATGAGAACGTCAATAGCGAGTTATCGGTCAATAGGTATGTATGTAGCATAATAATAGTTAGCGTCAATGAATTATTTGAAAGGCATATACCACGACACAAGATGTTAGTAGCTAATATTCTATATTTTCCTCCAATTTACATTAATAGACGTTTCGGTCTATTAATAAATTTGACTATCTTCAGTATTATAAATAAAATTCATTAAACACATAAAAATATATTTGCCTAAACCCTCAAATGTGATTTAAATTATAATTTATAACTAATAATTATTCTTAACAATTACATCATTTCCATATACAATTTATATATATATTGTTGCATAGTCCTATACTCCAGAAGAATTTTTTCTTTTTTTCTTTAAATTCAGTCACATTCTACTTTCCATCCAATGTTATTGTACACATAATTTCCTGATTTTGTGCTCCAATGTAATCCATGGACGATTTTTGATATATTGATCGCTTGTTTTAACCGTTCAACAATTAAATACGTTATGCCTCTCTAATAGTTAGCGTATATAATCTGTCCAATCTAAAATGAATTATTTGAAAAATTTATTTCTTCCAGAGATTTTAAGGACACGGAGAAGATCGAAACCGTAAAGGACACAAAGAACGTAGAGAATGAAAAGTCGTCAATTGAACAACAAGTTCCAGCCGCTTCGTTGGAAAGCACATCCACTAGCACTGTTGACGCCATACCGGTGCCTAAAGACGCTAAATGAAACGTTCCTCCCTGCCTATGTTAAATGATCTATGGCAATAGGAGGGAGGAAAGGAGAGAGAGAATCATATCAGTATCGAGTCGTAAACGATTGATCGGATTGCATATTGCGCCTTCTCTATTTTTCATTAGACACCACGTTAATTATGCTTTAAGAAAACGTTGATGGGTACATTATGGTCCCGCTGCAGGGTATCTCTTAAAATAAATCCAGAATGCCGAAAAATGATTGACGCTCAACTACACTTAGCGAATAATTTGATGTTTATTATATATAGGTATATCCCATCCCCTTTTTACCTCACCCTTTGAATGGCCAACATCTATAAGTATCCCTGCGAAAATCAAGTCCTCCCTCTGTCCCATATATTTTACAATTATTGTTAAGAGTTTCGTAAATTGTTATTTATACGTAACTGATAACTGATTTCTAACAAAGGAAGCGAAAAATGGAGAGAATAAATCGCAACATTTTTGTGCGATACATATAGACAATTTGTAAAGAGAGATGATGGATAAATTTCGCATCCGCTTGCTCCACTCGTGACATTTAATTTTTTTACACATAGACGAACATACACATACACGGAACATTTACTATATGTTTATATATTAAAAAAGCGGATGAGAAACATAAGAGAAAGAGTTATCGTAACGCTGTTTAATATTATATAAGACCGGTATTTCACAAACTGGTGCTTTTGCTTATTCCTTCGATAAGGCAAAGGTACTTAGGTGCAGTGCCTACTGTTTAACTGAGTGTACGTTAGTTCAACGATACGATACAAGCAGAAAAAAGGGAGGAGAGAGAAAATCGAGAGTATTTTTATTACCTTTTGTCGTAATAATCAGTCGAAATTTGTACATGATATCATATTAATCGAGAGCTCTTGACGAACTTGCGCACTTATTTGCATTCCGAATAACAAAAAAAAAAGGAAAGATTTATACGTATCTTTAAGCGACGTTAAAAGTCTTTCATCAAGATCTTCCAGAAGTGAATAGTTAAATTGCAGGAACTAATGTCAAAGCGTCGCGCATGCTTCGATTGAGCTACCTTATGTATATCCATCATTCTTCGAGAGACCATTCTATGAATTATGTTACCTGATTGTTCCACGACTTTCTTCTGCCTCGCAGATTTTGCAGCAGCAATGTGTTTATAGCGTTGTACACGAGATATTGTTCATAATTAAATGAAAAAAAGCTAATAAAACATTGTTCTAAATCCTAAAAAAACACACGTGTCACAGCATTACCAGTTTAATATCGAAATTTATAAATGCGTACATCGCACTCTGCGTTTTCTTTACGTTCTATATTTTATACAACATATAATTTATAATTTACTATACACGTCTATCCCGAGAACGTCGTGTATGCGCAGTCTTTATGTTTCACATTTTACTTTTTGCTCTCGATCCACAAACGCGTTTAGATGTATAACAGAATACCCCGTATTCTGTCGTACTCATTCTGATAAAAAAAATTCGTTGAGATTAGGAGAATTCATCTTCCTGCGGTGAATTATACCATGATATGTCGATTTTCTCTTGTCTGTAAAACAACAAAAGACGTTGAAATTATTGTTCGAAAGTAAGCGTGGCTTTCTTTTTTAATGGGAACGTACCGACCTCCCAAGGACAAGGGTTCTTAAGATGTCTCTACGTCCTAAGACGTTCCCGGGACTATTTCTTTTTTACTTTTTAAAATCAAAATTTGACTTATTTTTCAACATAGTCTTCTTTTAAAAAGTCACTGACTTATTAAACTGTCCACGTACGTTTCAAAACTTTATTCTGAAAAGAATTAATTCATAATAATCGGTTCTTATTTCAAGACCATCTTAAATGTCTTAAACAAGAAGAAAAAGATAGCCATGTTAGCATCTTAAGGAGTCTATACGTTTCTCGGACCTCAAAATGTGGCGAGAGATTGTAAGAAAACTATTGGGCCGATTGATTTAATTTTTTTTTTATTTTAAAGGTGCACTCTTAATGAATGTAAAACGTATACACAAAAACAAACAAATTTACAAAAATATGGCGGCTACGTCCAATGGCCTAGTACGTGTTTTTTTTTTGGTTGAACGGTGGGCATGATTTAGCAATTTAGCTTATAATATTTATTTGAAACAAAAATTTTTGATTTTTTTTATCATCTTCTAGAATCTAGAATCATAGTTCTCGTATAACAAGAGGAATTTAAAAAAAAAAGACTACGGAAATGGTCACAATTTGAAGAAAAGAGTCGTTATTTTCACAAAAAAATATCTATGTTTTATTGCTATTCGAAAATGGTTAAATTTACTTAAAAAAGTTCTCGTGATACGATAGTGAATCTAATTTAGAATACATATACCAAAAATGAAGTTAATCGGACGAACGGTGTGAGGCAGTTATTATGCCCACCGTTCTGAAAAATGCTATTTCGAGAAAAACGCGTTTAAAGTTTTGCAAGAGCTTTTAAGTGCGATAAAATGAAAAATTTTTTTGATTGAAATCTGATTTTAAAATGTTTCTAAAATATATATATTTTAAAATAAGCAAAAAAAATCGATTTTTTTAAGCTGAAAAACGTATATGACCGCTTAAGACAGATCTTAAAATAAAAACCGTCTACGAATATTAGTTCATGAGTCAACTGTTTTTCTCAAGAGTAAAGTTTTGGAATGCAACCCTGGATGTCCTTCGGATAAATAAAAAGTGAAATGTGGGGAGATAAATAATAAAATAAAATGTTTTACCCTTCTGTGCTTTCGCTGATCATTGTATTATCCTCGTCCGCGAGAATTCCAATCTCGTAAACTACAGCTTTTATCACGTATCTGAAGACGGCAAGAAACGTTTACAGCAAAATTATCGTATACATATACGTATTATACACGTTAAAGAATATTAAAAGAGATTTACACGTCGGTGTTGGTCGTGATGTCCGTCGAAATTTCTGTCGAATTCTCAAGATTATTTATTAAATCCGGGAGAGGACTGGCACCCACTCGTTGCAACGTCATCGATGTTAAAATTAATGTAAATAATAAAAGCGCGATGTAAGCTGGCCAGAGAGGCTGATGTGAAGTGATGCGCAACATTTTGAAGTTATACAAAGCTGCGAACGAATTCGACCGCGACTTTTATAGTGATGGACATTTGTCTCTCATTAACATCACCGTGACTTATACGTAGATACTTTTGCATTACGTATTCTCGATCGGTTCATAAGTGGCAGGTGGAAAATTTCCTCATTGCGCATGGACCGATACAGCTGTTGAATTTCGTTGAATATAAATTTTATTTGCGTAAAAAATGGTTAATATGAATATTTCAATCTAATTTTTCGCAAAAAAAATTATACTGTCTAATTAACTTCTAGGAATGTAACAGAAAATAAGAAGTCAAGCGCGTGCAAATTGTATGTAATTGTACGCTGCACAATTTTCCTGCGACAAGCTTGTTAATGAAAATTCAACTGATAAATCGTTCAAGGTTTTCGAGGAAATCCCAAATGTATTTACGTAAAATGTGTATTTTTCACGGTGACGATATAGACGAGCAAAATATCTTTTTTAACGCGCGCAATATTTTATATTGTTATTATATATTGATACAGGATTGAGCGTTAACTCTTTTTTTTTAACTAAGTTAAAGTTGACAGTCTTGAAAATTTAACTTAATTAAAATACAAGTTAATCCATAATAAAATTAATTGAATTAAAAGTTAAGTTAATAAAAAAAGTAATTAAAAAGTTAAAAATTAAATTTGGTTTGAACGACAAAAAAAAAGTTTGACTATTTTACATAATTTTTCGTATTTTTCCTTTCTCGCAGCTTATTTATTAAAGAATCTGGTTATTTTTGTTTACAAATAACGATGATACAATATAAAATTACTAATTTATATATATATACTCATTAGTCCCTCGCATTACATCTAAGGATTGACTTCAAAAAAATCAAATTAAAAGTTAATAGTTACCGATAAAATGTAACTAAATTAAGTTAAAAAGTTAAGAGTCTAAAATGTAACTAAGTTAAAATTAATTAACTTTTTAACTTTTTAACTTAACTTTTATTTTTTTAACTTAGCACTACCCTATCCCGTAGTGATATAATATTATATTATACATATATTGATTAATATTATTAGATATAATAATATTCCCCCTGATTTCTAATATTATTTGGTATAAATTTTAATAGACGAGTATAATTTACTTATATACTTTTCAATACTTGGATGAAGCATAAAAGTAACATCGAAAGAAGTTAAACTTTTTAAAACAATGAGACTCCGTACAATTTTATCTTTGTATCTTGCCGTCTTAAACGTGATAATTGAATTAGCGTGGCTACGCAAACAAATCGCGTCATTTGGACATACGGATGCATATTGCATATATGCATCCTGCAAAAAATAATATCCGGTATCTCAAATACTATTTTAAACATCAATGTACCTACGTCAGCAATACTCGAAACAAGTGTGTATATGTACTTAAAAAGAATTATTATAATTGAGAAAAAAATATCAGATGAAAGAAAGAGTATAAAGAAAGTTTCAGTTTGGAATAATAACAACTTCTCTATTTAAAGACACAATTGAACAACAAATCTTAAATTACACATTTTTTAACTTTATTACAGAAATCATTAAAAATGTATATATAACAATGAAAGGAAGAGTAGTAGAAAAGAAGTTTCAGTTCGAGATAATTAAAAATAGCTTCTTTGTTTAAATACATAACTCAGACACATATCTTAAGCCCGGTTGCACCAACCGTTACTTCGACTTTAAGCGAGACTTAAACTCGATCTGTCTCGTTTTAAAAGAGAGGGACAAGCGAGGCAGAGATAGAGAGAATTTTAAGCCTCGCTTAAATTAAGTCAACGTGGGTGCAACCGGGTCTTATTACACGTAATTTTTTATTATAAAAATTATTATAAAATGAGAAAAGAGAGAGAGAGAAAATTTTTATCGAGAATAGTTTAAGAAGGAATCTGTTCGAATGTTAAATCAGGAGGCGCAGCTAATAAGCTGCGTAGATCATAGATGGTACTAGCATCTCAGTTTGGCTCGACACATGGTTATTACAAATCATCGAATATATTTGTATGTATGTAAACGTATCATTGTTGCGCTTGAAGTATTTGTGAAGTATTACTGTATAATAGATTGCAAGATATATAGATTTTTCGAATTTAATGTGCGAGTGAATTTCTGCCAGAAACTCGCGAAACATGACGAGTGCCGTAATAACAGATGTACAGCAACCCGATTATCCTAAGTATCGAAAACAACAGGTTAGGATTCTTGTGTTTAATGTGCAAGATTTATTACAGTCGAAAAATATAGATATATTACATAATTTATTGATTAAGATTAAAAGGCAAAGCGATAATTTTCTACTATTTTACGTATATTTTATTTATTACATATATATATATATATATTTCGTAAATATATGTAATAACAGTTATCTCAAATCTAATCGCAATCACACAAATTGCAGGGAGGACTGGAGTTGACGCCAGAGGAGATAAACGCCTTACGTCAATGCATGAAAAACTCGAGTATCCTCGTACCGTCAATTGTCTCTGCAGCCTTAGGATATGGAATATGTAAGATGACTCCATTTCGCGCAAATGCCAAATATATCGCCGTAATCAGTGGCGTGGTAGGTCTGATGACAGGTAGAATAAGCGCTGCCAAATTTTGTCTGGCAAAAGTTGCTTCCATGCCGAACAGTACTCTTCGAGACAGAATGATAGAATCGGGTTATTTTGGAAATGTTGCTCATAGGTATTACTTTTGAGTAACATGGTTGCCTGCGTTTGTTTAGGTTTTTTGTTAAAGCAAGATTTTATGTATTTTTGTTTATAGAGAGGCATTATATTATCAAGGTCCTCAACCAGAAGTTCAAAGCCCAGCAGGACCATCTACAGAGATAGTATTCGATGATTACCCACCAATGAATTCATATGATACGTATTCCAGTATCAATCCAGACAACAGTAAGTTAAAAATTATTATTAAATCTTCTACACATCTATTACTACATGATGATAACTGTATAAATTATGTTTAAAGATGATTTTAACGAGGACGCGGATTTGTCCGAACCGATAAATATACAAAAAGGGGTCAGTTATGAAGAATTGAGGCATCAAAATAGAGATGAGTTCTATAAGAAACATAAACAGTGGTATACTCCTAAAACAAGAGAACTTCCAGAAACAAAAGAGACAAGTGAACAGGTTCCCACAACTAGTAGCCGGTCACCAATGCAAGAGAAAACTAAATACGGTGACGTGTGGGGTTGAAGTTTAATTTCGTTGGAGTATAGTTTGATGATCTCCGTGTATTATATGTATATATACATATATATATATGAATATATAGATAGCACTGCAAATGTGATAAGAAAGTTTTGAATTTTACTAAGTATATGAATAAAATAAACGGTATATAAATCACGTTTGTAGTAATCATATCAATACAATTGAATTCTACGCGACAAAATACTGCATTCTTACTATCTAAGCGACGTGTTGAATGATTCACGAGCTTAGATGGAAACGCGAGATGTAACTCGTGTCCTACCACTCATAATTGAGTCACAATCTCGCGAGATAGCGGTGAGACACAAACGGCTATGAGGCGGCTAATTGATAGATGACGCCAGGTCATAAATGCGCGTAAATGCAACTCGCTCTCTCGCTCGCACGCGGCTGCTCGCAAAGCAACGCGATGTAATGTAACGCTAGGTGATACAGCGAGCTCTCGTCCCCGTCATCCCGACTATGGTGTCATCCCCGCCGTGTGTTGTCACCTTGACGTACCCAGGATAGAAACCTTGCTCACTTCCCTGTCATAAGAGCCGTCGCCGCGCGTGCTCGTTCCCTATACTTTCCATAAGTTAGCCGATAATTGCTGTTCGGTATTTGTCGTACGACTCGCGCGTTGCGCCGTCTCCTCCTATCGCGAGTCTCGATATGCATTCGCCAGCGAGTCGTTACATTTTCCTCGCGCATTGCTCGCGAGTCGCGAGCGCGATTATCTCCGCCACCCTCTTGTCATCGAGCGACTTAATCGCCGTCCCGGAGAAATTGGAATTGCCGTTCTTACCTATGGGTCGAGTTGAGAATCGTAACGCCTTTCGCGCCTTTTCATGCGCAACCAACACTTTGTTCTCGACTTTGTTATCTCTCCGATTTCTGCACGATAAACGCGATTCTCGTTTGACTCGTGTGAAATCCTCGCTTTGGCGAGAGTCTTACGATAAAGGAAAAACCGACGATAGTAATTATTTACGTAATTATAAGATAAAATATAGATAAAAACGGCGAGGCAATAATATAAGCCATAATATAAGCGCTCCGCGTTTCCCAGCCGTTTAAAGGTCTCGGAGTTTGAGTTACGATTTAAAGCGATTTCGCACGATTAGTAATTTTTTCAGAAAAGTCAGTAGCACGGCACGGTATTAATAGGATCCGGTTGATTTACTTCGGTATCTCTTCTCGATCTTCTCGTCGTCGCTCGCTGTATATTCTCGACATACATATATAGGTATGCACCTACATACGTAGAGTATGCACATATACTTATTACACGATCGTTTCGCTTTACTTGCCCGCGCGCGCCGTGCTTGCGAATGCGAGTCGACCGCCATTGGTTATCGGGCGCGACCAATGGGCGAGTACTACTCCCATTCATAAGTCGCGTCGCTTCCGCGGGGGTCGTAGGTGGGGGAGAGCGGCGCGCCGCGCCGCGCGCGAGCGGTACCCCTGCCGCCCTGCCGCCCTTCCGCTGCGTCTCGCGGCTAAATTCACACCGGTCAGCCGCGCGCCGCGCTGGCCGCGCTCGTTACTCGTCATTCGTTCGCGCTCGCTGCTCCGTATTGTTCCAAGTGTCCCGCGAGGTTCCCCTCAAATAGAACGCACAAGTCATAATATCTTGGAGACATCTTAAACAGAACAAGCACAATTATGATATCAAAATAATGTCGAAATGACTCCAAAATGATCATTAAGCCATTTTTCAATCATTTCCGATTCATTTTAATGTCATTTTGACATTATCGCCACTTGTTGTTCTACTTGGGATCGTTATGACCTTATTTGTCACTTATAAGTTCATTTTCAAGTATCGAATGACATCATGATGACATCCTATGATATCATTATGACTTAATTATGACTCTGTGTTCTACATGGGCCTCGGCCGGGTCATTTTTAATCCTGAACTCAATGACATGTTTCGCTGCCATTGCGTTTTATCACGCAAACTTGTCATTCGCTCCGTCTATAAGTAAATAGCCTTTCGCATTAATTTTCTCTAAATTACGGTAATTTAATTTTCTCCCGCGACTATCTGCTTCATAATTATTCCATTACTTTGCCAACGGTGTACCGTGAAGTAATTATAGTAAATTAAGGAAAAACAGAGATATTAAGTGTTCATTGTCAGTCACAACAACATTATCGTCGTTACAAGTTAATCTCAAATTTGGAAAGCAAATTTGCGAGCGTTTGCGATCACGTCGTGTGGTTTGATAATATCATTGATATCGCCCAGCGTCATGATTACGAGACGAGAGGGGAGAAAAGGATTTCCGAAACTCGTAAGTTATACTCGCGCTCATTATCTCTCTCAAAGTAATCCGGTTCCCAGAAAACGTCTCCCTCGGTCGGCGGGCGTAAGGAATGTAATTCGCGCTGTATTGCGTATATTTCGGAGGGATTACTTCTGGATCCCAGGAAACTCGTCGGAATTTCGAGCGTTGCACGTATATACGTGTATATACACACAACGTCGCGCGCGTCACGATTCACGTGCCTGGTTAAACGATCACGTGTAGAAAGGGGAGTCACGCAGGTGCAGGTCATGTGAAATATTTGCACTTTGTCGTAATTTGCGTAACCCATTGCATATATAATAAATCCGCGCGGCGCGGAGCTAAAGCGCCGCGATAGAAAATCGTTTCACAATCTAAAGAGAAAGGGAACCTTTCTGCCTCGTCGCGGTCGCGAGGAAGAGGGAGAGGGAGAGGCGAGGAGAGGAGAGGAGAGGCGCTGACGGGCGGGCGGGGGATGAGGAGAGAGAGAGAGAGAGCGGAGATGCATGCGTCCGCTTCTCCATCTCCCGTGTATTATATTATGCGATCGCATTATGGACGCGCGCGGATATATCGCGACTCGCGAGAAGCGCGTCGCATTCTCGACTAATCGGAATCGCGGCGATTTGCGGAATACGATTAACGCTCGCTAACTTTGTTAACTCGATCTCTCGGCATCCCCCGCCGTCATCGTAGACACAGATTTATCACGAGACCCGTTTTCAGATTTAATAATCGATTTGTTCATCCATAGACGTAATCAGGATTTTGTTAAGGGTAGGTTTAAATTAAAGTTGAGGCTTTTGAATCCGAGGGGGAAGGAAGAGGATGATCGAGTGAGATATAGATTGTTAGACTAATTGTTTTGTTTTTATGATTGTTGATCTCCGCCCCCCCCCCCTTTGGCTACGCTCATGTGTTCACCATTATCGTTGTCACAATATAACTGTCGATGAAGCTCATTTGTTATATCTATGGTGAAGTTAAGAAGATTAACGTGCGTTTGTAATGTAACGTTCTAATTAATATTTATTTCTATCAACGTTGATTAACTTTAATCTTGATTTAATTCGCTCCTTATTCTCTAATTTTTATATGAAAAAAAATCTCGTAAAAATAGTAGGACACCAAACAGACTCCAAGGAGTAAATCAAATGATACAAAAATGCAGCCAAATGTGAACCAACACAAAATCTTCGTGTGATTAAAATTCAATACATTCAAAATCAGTTTACAGACGTTTCGATCTCAAGAATTGGATCCTCTTCGGAGTGTACAATAAACGTAGTCAACAAATTAAGGATTGATATTAATATTGTAATTAAATCTAATATTGTTAATCTATTACTCAGTATAAATTCTTATGAAAAAAAATCGTGATTAAATTAACGAGATATGTTGAGCAAACTTTGATGGAAGTAAACAGAATTTTTAATTGTTATAATCAAATATTTTGGAACACGCACAATCAAAACATGTAGATATGATACCGGTTAGAGTTTCATTAGTGCGTATGTAATAATAATATTATATCTATAAGCAGGTTATTATGACTACAAGAGAAAAAGAGCATGATTGGATTAACGTGACATGTAAACCGGTTAAAGAAATATTGATAGACCTAAACAGATATTCTACTTATCATAATTAAATAATCTGGTACTTTTCAATCAAAAGTATTTTCACCAGAATTCATGCAACCAAATATGTCTGATTACCATAACCAGAGCATACGTACTAAAAATTCGTTTGTTTATTTTAACATTTGTTAAAATATGTATTCGTTTAATCTCAGGTTCAACCAATTTTTTTCAGTATAGAATTAAAAAAGGATAAAAAATTGTAAATTAAACCGGGATTAAAGTTAAACTGAAACGAGCACAAATATGTAAGAAAATATAAGAAAAAGAAAAGAAAAACGCGAGAATTAAAACGCGTATCGTAATGAAAATATCAAAATGCATACCGATATCTTTTAACTGGACTCTTCATCACATTCTTAATTGCTTGTGAATCCTTTCGCGTTTTACGTTGAAAACAGCACACGATCAATTTGTCCATGCGAAAATTTCCAGTACAGCCTTCCAATTTCATTGGGAGAAAGTTGAGTGCGTGATCGAACTTGTTATACGTATTACTTTATAACGGCATAATAAATGGCTAAAAACGCAAAATTATGGACCAATCATGACCCTGCAGAGCTTTGCCTAACGATTTAGCATCGCAGTCATTTTGCAGGAAATACATGAAATTAAGATAAACATAGCTACGCGATGTCAAATAAATAAAAATAAAGATACAATGTTGAATGTTTTAACCAACAATCGTGATCTATAGGCACAGGGTGTGACGCCTCGAGTACGCTTGAAACTGGTGCAGCTTTACGTGTCAAGGCGTTTGCGACGGTTAGTTACATCATGTGGTATTGTTTCAAAATTAATTATTACGCCATTTTCAAACCGGTCGTTATTTCGCGCCGGCAGGGTGAGTCGCACGCGTGACGTCAGTCACGTGACGTGGCGCGCGTGTCGCGATTCGTTCTCCTATGAATTCAAAATTCGCCGCATCTCCGTCCGCCGCGATCTCGTCGACGTCGCGGCACGACGGGGTTTAGACGGTGGTATGTTCGAGGGATGATTCGGTCGACGCCATGGAAGAAAGTAATCGCGAGACGGCAGGGCCGCGAAAGCGGCAGAACGGGGAGAAATCGGGAGGAGGACAGAGGAACGTTGAGAGAAGTGTGCCAAAGTCGGCGGAGGTAGGAGACCCTCGATAGCTCACGTCGATAATCGCGCGCCGTCGAGACGCGCGGGCGGCGTTCGCCTCGCGTTGTGTTCAATGTTTGCGTGGAAGAAGGACGCGATGATCCGCGGAACGCTCGCTCGATCGAGACGGCAGAATCGTAGGAGACCGAAGGTGAGTGAGTAGGGTAGGACATTATTATGCGGGAGGGGGAAAGTGTGTGTATATACATATATATATATATATATAGCGCGGATGAATACTCGACGCGAGCGGAGAAAGAGAGAGAGAGAGAGTGAGGGGGGGGAGGGATAAGACGAGCGACCGATGCGGCGCGGTTAAGGAAGAGAGACCGAGAGAGAGGGAGTGAGAGGTGAGAGGCGCTCGCGCGGTGTCAGGACGGGGGCGTGCGCTCGATGGCCGCCTAGACCGCTCGAATCGGTCGCGCCCGGGGCGTGAGCCAGGCGCGCGAGATCGGGAATGAACGTGGGAGAGAGACAGAGAGAAGCGACACACTCGCCGCCGCTCGTCGCGGAGGGCTGCGTTCGCTATAAGCAGTTACTCTGGAACCGTTGCCTTGACGACACGCATCCACGCATGCGCGTGCGCAGCGCGGACGGTACGCGAGCGCAGTTCAAGAGTTGTGCCGTGCGCGCCAGTTTCATCCGTCACCCTCGCCACCGTATCATCACATCCTTTCCACCACCACCACCACCATCACCACCACCGCCGATACCACCACCACCACCACCACCACCACCCTCGCCTTCTCGCAAGTCCTCTCTCTCTCTCCCACCCTTTCTCTCTCTCCGCCCTCATCCTCGTGGTCCTCCGTGGCGAGCACGCGCGCGCGTCAACGCGTTAACGGGAGTGCGCGCTGTCACCGTCGAGAAACGTCATTTCGCGGATCTTGTGGCGGTCGACCACGATCGGCGTACTCGATCGTTTGCGAACGCGCGCGCGTTTTATTCTTCCCAAATTCTGCTGGAGCCGCCTTCCTCTCGCCTCGTATCTCGCGAAAATTTAATTACGCTGGAAACCGTACGTTCGAGATTTGTCGCGAGTGCCGGCTAAGCTGACGAAAGTGTTTTGTCGACAGGTGCAAGGGTTTTCTTTGGAAAGAAAAACAAAGAAAATTATCGGGTAAAGGAGCATCCCATCGATCGACGATGACGATTTCTTGCAGGAGGAACATTTTCCTGACGGAAGTATCTGATTATAATCGATCTTCCACGTGAACGTCGCACAGTGCCCGAACTAGTTTCGAACTTATTCGATGTCTCCGTTTGGGAAACGCGTTCCCGCGAGAACTCGGAGAGTATCGTCAGTGACTCGTGTTTTAATTTCGAAATCGGAGTCGAATGCTTCTTCTTGCTCGCGTTAGTGCCTCCCGACAGCGGCGCGTTGGCGGCGTCGGCGACGACGGCAACGACGACGACGTCGCCGATCGGAGTACTCCTTCTATCTAGAAAAAATAACTTGAACTAATAGTGAGAACGCGTCTATTTTTTACAGGACGCGATGCTCGCAACGACATTCGACGAGCACTCGGCAGCCTGGTGCGGGATAGTGTTTTGCGCACGGAATTCCTTGGATTCGACGCGCGGGACGTCAACGCGGTTCCGATGTACGTGACTTGTCGTGATCGCCGAGTATCATCGGATATCGCGAATCGAAGTGACATTGCGTGAAAGCCAGCCGTGCGCGAGATAATGATGTTCCGTTTTTTATCACGGTCCATCCGGAGAAAGGGCGGATCCAGAATCTAAAACGAAGACTCCGATCGAGAGAATTGGTCCGTCGACATTGCCCCGAGAGCCAGTGGGAATTCTTAACGAACCATAGACTGAATGATACTTGGAAAATTAACCCTTGGAGAACAACCTTCGGGAACAAAGTCTGGAGATTCTTCTCTGCATCAGCTGCGCCTCCGCGGAAGATCTAAATAAATAGTAATCCTCGGAGAAGGGATCCGAGGATCTCTCTCCGCGAATCGATCCTCTCAGCCGTCGGCCGGTGAATATCACGGCGCGAGCGGCAACGGTCGTGGGTTGGATGGTGCCGCGAGGATTAACCCTCGGCAGGACGACGACACGGGAGCCGGAGCCGGAGCCGGAGCCGGAGCAGCTACGCTTTTACGACTCTCCGCCGCCACGGATGGACGCGAGCGTGTGCTGTCTGCCCGCCGGTGCCGCGGCCACCACGGGGGTTACGCAGCACCCTCATCCGGCGTCTCTGCCCGGTTTACCGTCCGCCGTCGGCGTCCAGCCGCCGACGATCCAGCCGTCCTACGCCGCTCAGTACGCCGCCGATCAGATAGTGCCCGATCGGGCCCAACCCGACGGACCCCTCGCGACGGTACTCGGATGCAACGCGCAGGACAGCTGGCAGCAGATCTCGTCGACGGCGTCCACCGGGATCACCGGAGCTGTCACCGCCACTACCACCGCCTACATCGACTACTCGTGGCTTCAGATGCAGGTAAGTAGTCGACTAGTCTTGGAAATTGTCGAAACTCTTATACGGGGTCTACGATAGAAGTCATAGTGGTCGTAGGGTCTTAAGTCGTACAAAATTTATCAATTATAGTCGATTGTTTTTCTCATATTCGACTGTGATTACTCTAAATTTCTTGCAGTGAAATTTCACTTTAAGAGAGTAAAAACACAACCACCCTTGAAAACAAGTAAAAAATATTTCACTTCTTGAAAAAGAGTGACAATTTTCACTCTTTTTAGAGTAAATTTTTACTTCAAAGGAGTGAAATCTCACTTCAAAAAAGTAAGATTTTACTTCTTTGAAGTGAAAATCACTCTAAAAAGAGTAAAAATTGTCACTCTTTTTCAAGAAATGAAGGTTGTATTTTCACTTTCTTGGAGTAAGATTTTACTGCAAGAAATTTAGAGTGATTGATTAATTTTCTACGACTTCTATATTGTAGACCCTGTATTACAATTTACTCTTTTCTTGTATGTTAAATCGTACTCTGCGTACGAATAAACATGACTCTCTTGCCCATCTCTGTCAACGTAGATTAGCTTCAATCTTGATTTAACTTATCTTTTATCTTCTTCTAGTTCTAAGAAAAAGATAAAGAATAAATTAAATTAAGATTGATATTAATCTCGGTACATTGGTGAAAATAAACGCCTGAAAGATATGTTCATCTCTTTGATATTGATATGTAAAATTGCCATATTGTGTGAACAAAAAACACATGTTAAAATATAATATTTTTATTAATTCGATAACGCGTGTGTACATATAATTAAGCTCATAACATGAAATAAATTTTAAAGTTTTGAAATCACATCACGTATATAAAATCGATTAAAAAACGAATAACTCAAAGCTGTTGATACATAAATAAACAAATAAGAATGAGTTTTCTCTCATTGTTTTTAGAATTAAATAATGCATAGGAAGATAGGTCTGAGTCTCGATCAAAAGAAATCGAATGAATCCATTTGTAGCGATTAGTAGTTTAGTCGAGAAAATTACAATAGAGTCTATTTATGCCATGACTTTTGTATTCCTGGCACAAATCGAATCATCAGTTAATTAAACGTAACTTAATTTGGTATGCGACATCCACGACGCAAATGTTGATTTAATTAAACAGTAATACTTATCGAACCTTGCTTAGTAAGTGACTTGAGAGAGCCGTTTCAATTCTCGCTTTTCCTTTTTACAATAGATCTAAATATCTACGCGACCGCACACGTGTCACTCTCTGCTGACTAAGACAGTTTTTAATCGCAAAGCTGAGATTATAGGTTTTCAACTAGGCGTAATAATGTTACAGCTGTTAATTTTTCTCCGGATATATTGATTATCGGGTACGCCTTGAAAAGAAAACAAAAAAAAAACTCGGTAGGACTAATCCGTTCGGAATCGATACTTAACTCTGCTCATTACATTTGAAATTTAACTCAAGTACCATGATTAATGCGATTTGCTTTTATTCCTATCCGTTATCGATTTCCCATTAGCGCGTCGGTGTGATTTACATCGGCGATATATCGAGTGGTAGATAGTAGATCTCGGAAAAATGATGATTATTTACGTTCTTAATCATTCGTCAATCGCACGACTCGTTTTTCGGCTCGGCGCGACTCGACTTGGCGCGCAACACTCCACGATAATGTATCAATTCCCGGGAAGCGCTACATCGTAAAATAATAGAGCGGAGTAATAATACCCATTACTATTATCTCGGTACGAGTGAGTACTATATGTTCTCCCCTTATAGACGTAGCGGCGTCTCCGCCACGTAAAGCCACGCTGTTGACAGGGTAAATATCCTTTGATACCGCGCCGTCCGTCTGGCACACGCGTCGTACGCCTCTCTTCTACCTTACGAAGGAAGTTATCTATGTGGCACACGTGTGAGTGCGTGCGTGCGTGCGTGCGTGCCTACGTCCGTGCGATCTCTCACGCCACGAACGAGAGCGTGTACTTTTCACATTACGAAGGCCGTTTCGCTTGTCGTTAAGGCTTCAGGATTTTCGTAAAGACCGCTATTTCGTTAATGAATCTGTTGGCCATATATACAGGGTGATTCAGAAACACGCCAGTATACACGGTTGTTCTTATTGCAGTTTCTTTTTTGATTTAAAGGCAATTTTTTTTCAACGAAAATATCGAGGACCATCTTCTTTATTGCGTTTTTCCACTTCTTAATCATTTATATCTATTGAATAATAACGAAAAAGATATCCATTTGGAAAGACAATTTGAAAAGACGCTGTATATGTTCTTATCGTCTTGATGCAATTTGCGAAAGCGCGTTGGTATCGAATTAGTTCTCGCGATATTAGTTCTTGTAAAATATCTCAAAAGAAACCGAGATATATGCCTCCTGTATGCGGCTCTTCTCATTTCTTTTTTCATACATAAATGATTTTACGCGAATTATAAATTGATTACTGAGATCAATCGAAATCGATCAATCATGTATGGAAAGTTTTCTGCTCGCGATGTTATCAAAAGAGAAAAGGCACGCGCGACGTTTCAGTCTCTCTGCCGAGACGAAAAGCCGGTCTACGAATTTTGCACAACGAGCACCTATTTACTTCAATCGGAAACCGGTTTTTTGATACCGTTATCGACTCCTGGATACCGTGTTGACGTATATAACCACGATTCGTCGTCAAATATCGATAGTGTTTGAAACTTAAGAGGGGTAGGAAGAAACGACTGGACGTTGCAACAATCGCGAAGCAGATACATAACGAAACTGTTTTTTTATTCACGAAAAACGTTAGTATTTCTGATTACCGTAAAATCATGCGAAAGAAAGTATTACACTTCCTCTCGAAATTGTGAGTTCAAGTCTAAAGGAATCAATTTTATCCGATAGTTGTACGGAGAAAATTTTATATTAAGTTTTAATACAATTTTAAATTACACGTTACTATGTCTTGTATTTTCGATGGACTCTCACAACATGTGATTCCGATTTAACTTTTACTATGGTAATACTAATTTGTATCACATAAATAAAGTAATTATTTTGTTAAGCCATATTCTAACATGAAAACAATTAATTTTTACTATGGTACGCAAACAAAATTTGCTAGGTATATTTGATTTTGTAATAAAAAATTTTTACTATGAAAAAGTGTACAAATTACGTTATATTATTGTTTTTAAAAAAATAACTATAGCATTTAAACTTATAATTTACATGAAGACCGTAGCTACCACATTATAGTAATTTTAAATATAAAATTTTCTCCGTGTGGATGGAATATTTGATAATTCGTCCAAAAATTTACTTCTGTCCTGTACTTTTTTATCGCATATAATTATAAATTTTGTATTTATCGTAATTATAATGTAATTATAATTTTTTTTATGTATGTAATACATTATTTCAGTATTTTCTTACAATAAAAAAGATTTTTTCGAAAAATAAGGATATGCAATATTATTAAATAATTAATTCAATAATATATTATGTAACTAAATAATATAATTAATCAAATTACATTTGGAAGATCTGAGATTAGAATTAAAAAATATTATTCATTACGAATGTTGTGAATATTACACGGGAAGAAGTTTCGTTGAAGCATCTAAAAATTTAGCCAGAATAGAGATCTAAAAATAATTTTATTGGACTATCAAAACAATTGTATAGAATGCTCAAGTTTATTATTAGAATGTTACAACTTTTTGCAGCATTGCAATGCAGTAAAAAGTCGACATTTTAATTCTACTTTGAATCTCTTTCAATTAAACCTTATAAATTTGTATTGATACTGGAACAATCAAATAGGATCTAATATTACTTAATCTACAGCTTCTATTATAGAGAAAACTTCTTTTCAACCTAAAAATAGGAAATTTTTCAATAATTACCATTTACAGCCTCAACGTAGGAGCTCAATTCATTAAATTAGACTCTATTATAAATCTCTAGAATCTACATACGTTCTAAAACTATTTTTAAAATAGGAGCAAAATTTCGACTGGTGTGCTATTTATACTTCAATTTCCTATATTAATTATTTGATAGTTTAACAAAATTATTTTCAGATCTTTCTATTCCCGGAAACTTTTAGAGTGAATTTTCACTCTGAAGAGTGAAATTTTACTCTTAACGATTGAAAATTGAACCACTCTTTTTCAAGATCTCAATTTTCATTCTTTAGAGTGAGATTTTACTCCAAAGAATTTAGAGAGTATTTAAATTTTTAGATACTTCAGCAAAATTATTCTTTCTAGTGTATATTCTGAATATGGTATCGCACAGCATTTGCGTTTGTCATATTCATGTATTAATATATTTTCGCTTAGGTTTTTCTTACAGTTTTCAATAATAATTTTCTTCAATATGAGAAATTCAGCTCGATATACATACATATTTCGGTCTCACGCCATCGTCGGCGGGCGGGGACGCTCGACTAAATCGCGACCGGTAATTAGCCGATACCCCCGACGCAATCTAAACGCATTGTGACGCGTGTAAGATAATAAGCGGACGGAAATCCACGATTATTGTGCTGCTCGAGCCAGAAAGGACATCCCAACCACCACCGGACGAACCATTTCCACGGTTCACCGCCCTTCGTTTCAAAACTGCGTACGATTACCGTTCCACCGCCGATTATTTCAGTCGCTGTACAAATACGAACAGGGGAGGCGGGGAGGAAAGGCAGAAGCGCGATTAACATCGAGCGGAGATGATGACCTAACCGAAAATACGATGCTAATATTGTTCGTGTCGCTTCGCTTATTTCTACCGGCTGGCGGCAAATTCTTTATCTTTTGTAATGAGACATTGTGACTCGCAAGGATTGTTTTATTACAATCTTTTCGCATTACAGATATACTACTTCCGGACATATTGCTTCATAATAAAATTATTACTTACACGACTTTTGTATTAGTCCTATCGCTAAATTTCTTTAGAATGACATCTCACTCCAAAAGAATGAAAATTCTGCTACTCTTGAAAAAAGTAAGTAACAAAA